CCCCAAAACCCCAAAACCCCAAAACCCCAAAACCCCGAGATTCTTATACTAAATTGAATATTTAAATGGGGTTCCTCGGATATATTTATGGTACAACTGGCTTCTTATTCCAATCAATCGGGATATGTATCATCAAACACGCATTCTTACTCGCACCATTCACAATGAGTTCAGACATCACTTTCTGGAGATATGTGTTCTTACCGATCTTTTGAGTGATAAGCATGGGGTGTACATTGTCTCCAATGTTTAAAAAGGGAAGGTCAACAATGGTAAGACGATTCCAACATTTTGAGAATTTCCAAGGGACAATTGAGATTCAGACACCTGAAGATGAGAGAAATGTCTTCTTGCTCCTCTTCTGTGCAGGTATATGTTTCACAATGAGCACTATCTTACTCACCTCATCTATCAGCCTTATCTCTGTGACAGAATCACAGGTAGTTTTTGGCACAAAAACTTTCTTTGTGTTTGTTCTTAGTATCTGGATATTGAAATCAAAGATGAACTATCTTGAGTTAGTAGCTATTCTCTTCTCATTCATTGGACTGATCATTTTCAGTCTGCCAAAGGATGAGTACCTCACAACTAAGGAAAATGATGAAGTAATTCTCTTTGATTATCTGGGCATCGATCTCCATCCTGTAGTTTGAACCAAGTACAATGGATGAAACCAGAAGGAAGGTAAGCTTATTTCATGGTAGTGCATATAGATAAGGGCTTTGGAAATGAGCTAAACGGTATTATTAGGAGCTTTGCAGCAGCTGCTTTCGCAGGCTTCTCAGTTATTTTAATCAAGAAGATTCAGGATAATGAGAAGACTCATGTGTCAGAGGACAAAATAATCCTCTCAAATTGCTTACATATTGTGATGATCTGAAATGTGTTGGGAACGCTTGAGTTTTACACTGAGAATCCATGGACTTCCTACACGATGCACTTAGAACTTTTCTTTGCTCTGATTTTTATCCTAAGTTTGATCACATACACCAGCATGAAACTGATACTCAAAACAATGAAGATGGAATCACCTTCAGTAGTGGGTGTGTATGAGTTTCAAGGTATTATTTTCACAGCTATACTTGACTCCTTGATCCTGGGCACAAAGTTTACCACAAAAGATTATGTAGCAGGAGCATTTATCATTGTTCCCAACCTAGCAGTGTCTATTCTCAATCATTTCTGGAAGAAGGCAGATTAATTCAATTTTCAAATTCTAAAGAGGGGTTTTGGGGTTTTGGGGTTTTGGGGTTTTGGGG